GTTACCAACATCTGGTGAAAATTTCATGTCATTAGCACCTCTAGTAATATATTTACTGTGAAAAATGTTGACGTGTTCAATACTTATTTTACCCACTGTATGTTTCTCAAAAAGCATAGGTTTTGTAATCGACTGATTTTTGTCTTTTTGCAGCAGCAGAAACAATATAACAACAAGCTATTATTCTTTTTTATCACTTTATTAAAACTACAACAGAAGTRGAAAACAATCTCATTTTTCAGGGGAAAGATGGAAACATTTGAGCTTTCCAAGTACTTTTATCTCTGCAGACAATATTGCCCTCTGCAGGGCACTTTTGAATAAATACGTTTGTTGTTACTTTCCAGACTTTTTTWAAATTCTGACAAATTTATGATGTTATGCTATGATGCTAACTGCTCTGTACTTTATTTATACCTTTTGATATTTAAACAGTCTGATAAAATAAAAAAAACATTATAAAAGACTTGATTCAAGATAAACTAAAATCTTAAAATTAGTTGTAGCTCACAATTTGCAGACCAAATATTAGTTCATGCTCTCAGTTTCTGGATGCTCACACAGAAAGTTGGTGAGTTTTGTTCCTGATCTGATAAAAGTGGGAAGGACCAGMAAGGAAAGTAGAAAAATGAGGACAAAATGATCATCTCATCACTCCTCGGCACCCTTTTTACTCCTTTACTCCCTGAGACAGGCAGAGTTTGATGAGGTGGACTCAACAGTAGCCATTGTTCTCTCTCTGAGGGCAGCAGGACAGAACAGATCCATCTCCACAGATCCAGTGTGGGGTCTCGCCTCACCCAGACACAAGGTGGGTCTCCGATGTAGGTCACAGTGACTGGGTCAGAGCAGCAGGAGGTTTCCCAGAAAGTGATTCAATTTGTTTTCTTTGTCTGAACATGCCTTCTCTTTTGKTTGTATTTTTCACTTTTGTCAGATTCTTTTTTTCCCTCTTTGCTGTCATCATCATCTTTCTACCTGACGTATCATTAATCTTCTGATCTGTGAAGCTGAACTGACCGTTTTTTTTTCTTTCGGTCGGATGCATTCTTTCAGAAAGAACACAATCTTTTCAGAATATGAATTTGAGGGCAGTGGAATAATTATGAAATAAATATAAAAGCTGTTTTTTAAGGGTTAAATAAAAATTACATTTTAGCAGAATTTGAAGGGTTCAGTTTAGCAATACAGAGCTCATGAAATAATTTYAGACAGGGAGGGGTTGCTGAGGTTTGACCGGAATGCTTAACAAAAGCTCCTAAATTATTTAAAAAAATTAAGAGTTGGAATAAAACAAATTGGGAAAGAAATCCTTATAATTTGTTAACATAATGGTGCTTTCTTAAGTTGGTGTACAACTCCTACCCAGGGGCGGAGCCAGAGGGGTGGCCAAGGTGGCAAGTGCCACCCCTGGCACCTGATTAGCCACCCCCAGGTGCCCCCACAAATGGCTGACAAGTGAAGAGGGGTTTGCATGCGGCAATCATGACAGGCAGTTATGGAAAAAAAATTTTTTGTTGTTTTTGCTAGCTGGGGTAGCTTTCAGAATGCCGTAGAGATTGCTCCTGGCTACCAACACACCAAATTTCAGCTCAGTATTCCTAAAGATGACTGAGTTGTARCCATTTGAAATTAGCTTTGGCAGCCATGGTGGATTTTGAATTTGTAATCTGATTTTATAAAAGATTGTTTTTTTGGCTATACTTTCATGCTGATTTTCCAAATGTGTGTTTTTAAAAATTGCTTAATCGTAGCCCTTTATGAATTTAGCATTATCATTAGTGGTTCTCTTAGTTTTTTTTTATCATTCTTGGCTACGATCGCACACAAAACAGCTGAATTAGAATCATTCGAAGACCATCTTGAATTTTCAAGAGAAGTTTTGTTTATTTGTATCTGCCTGCCCTAAAAAAACAACAACACCTTGGCCACCCATGTGCCACCTCTTGCAAAAATATCTAGCTCTTCTCCTGCTCTAGGTTGTTCTGCCAAATAATTTTGGGAACAAATAAAGGCAGGAGCTCTTGTAAGAAGCTCACACACTGACCGAAGTAAAGACCCTCATGATTCAGCCCCTTTAATGATTCACCTTCTGCAGAAGGACAGTGAGGCCCTCCAACCACTTCCACCTCAAGCTGTAATGGAGTAAATCCCAAACATGTCATGGCCTGATCCTTTGGGACTGCACACAACCTTTTGCTGTCCTACACCTGACCAACCATCGTCCTCCTTCCACGGCTAAAAACTCACTGAATACCTAAYCAACTAGATTTCTAATTTGGAGAAACTGGCCTGTTTTCACCCTCTTTTTTTTTTCTCTTTATTTTTTGTCCACATGAGCTTTTCTCCTCCAGGCATTGACATTTAATCAAAATCGAATCCCATTGTGACTATTAACATATCAGGCTGATACGAGTTGCTGTAAAAAGCTCGAGTACAGGATCCCGGAGCAAAAACATTACCATAATGTGTGATCTCTATTTTCTCTCCWACATGGAAAAATGCTTACCTGGCAAACAGCTACCCACGGAGAAGCACTGCTTTCTCATTTCTACTCTCTGCCTTTCCCCTGCTTATCTTTTTAGAAAGTGTTAATTATTTAGCTGTTTGCGCTCCCGAGCCAAAAAAAAAAAAAGAGCACTGAGACAAACTATGCGTTTAATTCAAAAGTGGGTTTTAATATTTCACCACACCATTAACATCACCCCCCCCTGCCTCTGCGGTGACTGAATAAACAGATCAGAGTGGGTTTTTTCTTCTTTGGTTATTTAATAGACGCTGTGGCTTCTCTGCAGGCAGCTTCTGTCTWTAAATCATCAGAGACATGAAAGTGCTGATACACGATGTGAAACGAGAGTGAAAAATGGTGATGATTATGAGGTCAGTGGCTCATAAGTTGCCATATTGGCCATGGGTTTCTTTCTTTTTTTTTCACAGCTCAGCAGATATTGGCTGCCTCTGCACACGTCCTTGGTTGAAGGTCTTCATGCTCTAGAKTGAGCCTCAACACATCTGACCCCGCTGGCACCCGCTCATGTATGTCAGGGCCATATGTCGGTTTCTGTGGCAGCCTTGCTACCTGAAACCAACAAGGCGCTAAACTGGACCCTGAAGGCGAAGCGGCAATAACGTTTTTTGCCCGTGCACGCTTGTTTGTCTGTCTGTTAGCAAAATATCTCTCAAATTACTTGAACGATTTTAATGGAACACCTAAAAAATAATCATTAGATGTAGAACTACAACTCATTGACTTTTACAGTTCACATCTTTTAAGCTGACTGCCACAGCTAAGTGACCTKATCAAACACAAAACTGACTAAAATTCAGCCAGTTTTACAAATATTGAGCTAAACTTTAGTGTCAAAGTAGCTGAGAGT